ATTGGTGTTCATCTAAGGTGCCTCAGGAGTACGGCGGTTGCTGGTTGGTGGATCGGGTCATGTCGGGGTCGTACGGCGGACAAGGATAGTCTTTGAAGGTGTTCGGACTGTTCATAGCCGCGTTCCCGGTGCCTCTCCCTTAATGTGATTGTCCAACTGAATCGCTAGAGCAATAAGGTCCTCCAGGTTAGTAGATTCATTCCAGATTGACAGCTCGTCCTTCAGGGCGGTGCTTAACCCACGTAAGAAGACACTACGGAACACACAGTCATCGAAACCGCTTTCGGCGGCCAGGATGCAGAAATGCAATGGAGTAGTCGGCTTGCGCTGGCCTACCCTGAACATAGTCTAACAACCGTCCTCCGTCCTCTCTTCCTGAACTGGGTGGTGGAATATCAGACGTAACTAGGAAATAAATTCATGGAAGAAAGACCGGAGTTCGGGACGTGCCTTTCTCACTGCAAGTGCCCAAGACAAAGCTTGACCAGTCAACAGGCTCATAATGAAGGCAACCTTGGAACTATCATGGGTGTAGGTGGATGGTTGCTGGTCAAAAACTAGTGTGCACTGGTGGATGAATTGCCCACAAAGTCCAGGCTCACCACCATAGCGTGACGGATGGGGTCAATTTGGTTCATGAAAAACTGTTGGAGGAGAAGGCACTCCAACGGCAGCAGCTCGAGAATCCGAGGGGGGCGTACCTCGGGTGCCCAACTGCTCCAACATGCAAACCCAACTCCTCAAACCGGCTAGCCAGCAGGGCAACCGTGTCACGGAGTTCCACTCATGCCGCCTCCTGCTGTCCCACCAGTCGTCCTTGGCTGGCCAGAGTTGTCCTAATTTTATCTGGGTCTACGGGATCCATGGTCGGATTATTCTGACACAGTTTGTGGATGAACTGAATGGTGATGGGATCCCAAAAACGTAGACACAGACAAAATCCATAACAAATTATTTATTGAAGCGGAAACGAAGGGCCGACAAAGTACAAACAGAAATCCCTGGCAACAAAGAGTCAGGAAAACTAAACGCGAACAGAAAGCGCTTGCAAAAGACAACGTAACAACGATATTCGAAAATACACAAAATGAAATATCAAGAGTCCAAATGTGCATAACCAAAATCAGCGAGTACCTCTACAACAAAAATGCTTACTAAACAGGAAAAAGAGTACAAGAGCGACTATGAACATGAGCATAAAGGTCTAGAAAATATCACTTGAGGCAGTACAGCGAGCAAGGTCAACAATCTGACGGAAACTTGGCAGTTTGGCAGTCCTTATATACTTGACGAGGCCTGATTAGAAAACCAGACACGGGTGCACTGCTGGAGAGGAACGCCCTCCACTCCAGCTCGTGTTGAAACAAAAATCACAGACAGAGCAAAATCATGTCAAGAGTTTGACACTGGCGCTTTAGGACAAACATGAATTCGTCCAAAAACACGAATGATTTCAGAAATGGAATTGTAATCTTCAATTTCTGAGTGTATTGTGGTACATTCCCATTTTGACAGACTTATGGGGCCTTGAAAATTTTGGCAATTCCATTTTTTTATTTCAGTGAAATAGACTATTTTGGATAAGATCCAAGAATATAGATTTGCGTTGTGCATGTTTTGTTTTGTTTTGATACAAATGACATTGCCGTGCATATTACTGTCGTCAGTCATTTTTGCAGGTCCACGAAAACAGAGCTTATGATGTTAGTGTTGTACTGTAATCTTTTCATGAAACTCGAAAACCCACTAAAGCCCACACACACCACGCAATAACAGTTGGAGACTCACACCCGCACATTGAGCGATTTGATCAATGGACGCTCTGTGGCATTAAACGACGAGTCTGTATAGGCTATATGCACATAAAGTATGTTGTACTTAATCACTTCTAATTAACCACAAGATGCTTGTGGAGGCTCTCAGTCGTACAGGAAAGTTCCATCGTAGAAAGGGTTCTGTCAGTCGTCATCTGTACCTGTGGGTAAAAAACAAAAAACAAAAAACAAAACAAAAAAAAA